TCCATTTACCATTTACCATTACCTTTAATGTGGATCTTGTCTGTTAAATGTGTTTTTGTCCACCAAAGACTGGTTACCCTCAACCCAGTACAATGCATGTGATGGGAGTAGAAAGTGTGATGTTATATCTATTTCTGACCTGTTGCTTAGGAATACTCCTTTTCACCCGGTTGAGGGTTTTGCGATTGTAACCCTCCCCACCAAGGTGAACTTTGACAGCCCCAGATTCCAGCGGGTCTGCTGTCATTTTAGGGAATATATGTAAAGCATCCTGGAGAGAGGAAAGCAGAATGCAGTCAAAGGCATGAGATACAGCTTTAATTAAACTCACAGATGTGGGAATACGATTGTTTTTAAATTGTATCTGCAGTCTCTATTTGTTTTAAACCCCTACACCAAGGTAATTATTCTAAATCATCATCAACAGACAGTAAAGCAGAAGGATGTGCAGGTTTACCTGGTGCTGAGCACTCATGTTGACTCTCCTCAACAACCTCTTCTTCTGTTCACTGAGCAGGCTATCAATTTTTCTCATGGGTGGGAGGTACAACTCATCTGAGTGGTCAAAGAAGAACACTTATTTACACTTTAATCACTGTGCCTATTATCATTATCAGAATTGGGCTTATTGCCAAGTAGGTTTTCACATACAAGCAATTTGCGTGGGTATATTGGTGCTTAATAAACAAAGAAGAAGAACAAAAATATAGTATGGTATAGTATAGTAAATATAGTACTGCAAGTCAAGAAGCATTAATTAAATGTAGCAAGTTTTATATATATTATATTTAAAACATTAATATGGCAGCACAAAAACATTCTAATGTTAAAGTATATGGAGTCATGGTGTCCCAAAACTTCCCTCGATTTCAACCTCTTTTACACCCCATCCAACTAGGCTCCTTAAAGAAGGTGTACCTTAAATTGGGCACTTGGATATGATCAAATCTGTCATTATGTCAGGATTATTACCACATCCTTTAAAGTAGTTAATTAAAACCCCTTCTTAAAAAAGCCCACTCTTGACCCAAGTTTAGCCAAACTTTATTTGGGACCATTCTACCTTTCCCCTTTCCTCTCTAAAGATTCTGGAGGAAAGTAGTCGCCAACAGGTTTGTGAATTTCTTAAATTGCTGCTCCTTCTGTGAAAAAACCAAGCTTTCCAGTTGTGTTCGGAAAGCAGACCACCCCACCATTTAAAGAGGTAGGCTTAAAGACGTTTCTCTTGGATAAAGTATATTCAGATCAAGGTGAAGTCCTGAACCATTTCTTAGTTATGCTGTATACTAGGATTATCGGTTTCCCCCAGGTGCACTGAGCTCCTTTCCTTCTTCTCTCTTCTTTCTGCAACTCATCATGTTTCCCATTAATTGCCATTTTTACAACTTCATTCCCCCGGAGTTCTTTGTTGCTTCTCGGGGTCTCGCAGGTTCTCCATGGATTCCTGGTGGAAGCCTTCCTGCATGGTCCCTGCCTTGACTTACCATTGGTATATTTACTGAATTGTTGTTATTATTATTATTATATTATTTATTTACAGTTACTATTAACTATTAGGTCCACTGCTATTTTTTTCCCCCATTCATTGTTGTCTTCATTTCATCTTTTCATGTTCATCACATTCATTGATCTCATTCATCACCATCCAGTTTGGACTTATATTAGTCTAGGGTTTGTTGCCTTACTGTGTTTGCTGTGCACCTTTTGTTGTTCTTCTGTCTTATCCTTTTTCTCTTTTTTTCTCTCTCTCTCTCTCTCTCTCTCTCTCTCTCTCTCTCACCCCAACTGGTCGAGGCAGACGGCCACCCACCTAGAGCCGGGGTCTTTCCAAGGTTTCTGCCTCTTAAAAAGAAGTTTTTCCTTGCCGCTGTCGCCAAGTGCTTGTTCATGGTGGGAGTGCTTACCATCAGTGTCCTCCAGTGCTTGGATCATATCAGGGTCCAGTGCTGTGCTAACCAGCATCTCCACATAGCTCCTGAACATCTCCCTCATGGCTCGGCTGTTAACTCCACCCCGCACAGGCCCTAAAACAGAGAGAAGCCTTTATATGTTTTTATATGTGCTAATATGATATTAACAAATATGTGTGCCTCACACACACACACACACACACACACACACAGAACAGCTAACCTTCGTCATCACTGGGTGGGGAGTCAGACTGAGAGGAGGAGGATGGCACCTCCTTCAGCCACTTCTTCCTCTTCTTGGGAGGAGGCTCTGCATTGTCCTTTGAAGTCTTGGCTCTGGACTGACGCTCCATCTTCTTCTCTCCTTCTTTCTTCTCTTCCTTTAATCTTGCAAACTCCACTGTGCCATCTCTCCTCTCTCGCAACTCTCTCTCCCTTTTCTCTTTTTCCTGATCCCTTTGTTTCTCTGTCTCCTCTTTTCCCTCCTTTTCTCTCTGCTCCCTTTCTTTTTCCTTTTCCCTCTCCTTCCGTTCTCTGTCTTTCTGCTCTCGCTCTTTCTCTCTCCGCTCCCTCTCCTGTTTCTCCTTTTCTCTACGCTCCCTTTCTCTCTTCGCTCTCTCTTTTTCTCTTCTCTCCCGTTCCTGTTTATCCCTCTCTTTTTGCTCTCTCTCCTGCCTTTCTCTTTCACTTTGATCCCTTTCCTTTCTTTCCCTCTCTTTCTGCTCCCTCTCTTTGCGCTCCTTTTCCTGTCTCTCCCTCTCTTTTCTTTCCCTCTCCTGTCTCTCTCTCTCTTTTTGTTCTCTCTCCTGTCTCTCCCTCGTCTGTCTCTCTCTCTCTTTTTGTTCTCTCTCCTGTCTTTCTCTTTCTTTCCACTCCCTCTCCTGTCTCTCCCGTTCTTTCCGTTCTCTTTCCTGTTTATCCCTTTCTTTCTGCTCCCTGTTCCTTCTATCCCTCTCTTTCATCTCTCTCTCTTTTTGCTCTCGCTCATATTCCCTTCTCTCCCTGTCCTTTTGCTCTCTCTCTCTTTTATCCCTCTCTTTCTGCTCCTTCTCCCCTCGTTCACTCTCCCTGTCATTCTCCCATTCCATTTCTGTCTCTTTTTCTCTGCACTCCCTCTCCTTTCGCACACTGTCCTCTTTTTCACTATCCACCTTTTCCATTTCTTTCCTGTCCCTCTCCTTCTGCTCCCACTCCCGTTTCACCTTTTCTTTTTGCTCTCTCTCCTCTTTCTCTCTCCTCTCTCTCTCCTTATGCTCCTTTTCTACTTTCTCCCTGAGCTCTCTCTCTTTCTGTCTCTCTCTGTCGTCTCTCTCCACTCGAGGTGGGGTTTGATTGTGAATGGAGGGCAACTGTTTCGGCAATGCCTGGCGCCTGTTGATCAATGAGAGAGAAAAGGATGACACAGAGAAAGACACAAAAAGCTCCAATGTCCAAAGGAAGCTAGTTAGTGTTTTGAAATGAACCTAACATCCGTTGTTGACATTTATTATACATTTCTGAGAAATCCAATGGGCCTGAACAAAAACAACTAATCAGAGTCAAGAAATTTAGAAAAGACACTTTGGGTTGGTGGCTTGAAGAAAGTTGATTGCTGACACCATGAATGTAATGAGGCTCAACAATCACATAACATAGCATTATATTATTTTCTCCAAAGATGATTTTACTAGAGATTACAAACCCTGCTGCATTCTGCACATGGACTTCTTGTGTGCAGGTTTTCTGTGCCCGTTGACATGTAAGATTTAGAGTGAGAACCCAAACTAGACAAATTCATTATAGTACAGTTTTTGTTCCGCAGTCACTCTTCATCAAAAAACTGAAGAAGAATTTCACTCAAACTCAAACATCAGCTGTGAATAGATGTTTTCCTTTTGTTTCAGTTAATCAAATAGAGTGTTGGCACTTTAGATGAGATCTGTCTTAATTGTTTTGAAAAAAGGTTGTGAAACCAATTAAAAAGTATCAGTCCATCTTCATGCCCCTACCTCTGAGTGGCAATCAGAGACATTTGACAAGATAACAAACTCATAGTCTTACCTGAGTGTCAGGCCGGCTCGATGCCACGGCTTTCGAGAACACACTCTCACATAATCTTTTTTGTTGACGTTCTCCAAGAACTTCACATACAAGCGCTGGTAGCGCATTTTAGCATCACCAAAGTAACCCAGATACTGATGGAAGAGACATGAAAAATAAGAATCACAATTTAGTAAACAGTTTTTGTGAGCTATTTTTCATTTTCATTATGACAAAAAAAAGTTGAATTGGCCTACAGAGGGGGAAATCAAACATTTGTGTTTACAACTTACTGTAGACAGAGCTCTCACTGTTTTTTTGGAACCCCTCCATCTAAGGGCTAAACCATTTGCTATTCTCAGACTGTACTGACACCAGACATTAGATTAAATCTATTAATTGTTTAAAGAAGAAGAAGAAGAAGATCCCCTAAGGCAAATTATTTTTTTCACACACAAACACAGGCTGAAATGCACATTTCATGCACATGTGGACATGCAA